TCGACGATTTAATTAAAGCCGTGTTCCTCGCCGAGGCTCGCGCTTCGACCGGAAGCGTAATAACGAATTTCTGTCGAATTTAATCAAAGGTGAGGACCGATTATTCCTTCACCCTTCAACGTCCGATCCTCCACGCTCGCTCCGGCCGGTACACGCGGCTTCCAAACGTTCCAAACGCGTATCCGAAACCGTGTCGAACGTTTCTCTTCCCCTTCCTAATTAAATGCGAAGAGGAAAATCGCACGACCGAGGATTTTCCGATTCCCGGAAAATCTCGGTCCGGTATCTTGGAAATCGCCCGAAATACAACCGGATCGGACGGGGTCTGTTCGAGTTAACTTAAATCAGGCGGGACCCCCTCGGGATTCGGTGGATCCGCGACGCGGAATATCGAATAACTCGGAAAGAAGGGTGGATCGGGTTCTCGCCGCTTCTTTCGCCCGCTTTTCGTCGTTTTCTGCCCCCGAATCGAAGCGAACTAACCGGACTCCTCTCCCCTCTTCGACGTCGGAGTAACTTGGCCGCTGCCGAGTGGAATATTGCACCCAAGTCTGGCCCCCGAGAAATAGGTCAATTACGAGACGGGGAGAGTTTCGAGCTGATTTTAACGCGAACGAACGAAGCCGAGCGATACGACGCGGAATTGCGGACACTCGGCGGGGAAAGAGGGAGAGAAGGAGAGAAAGGACGAGAGTCTAGGTGTACACAAGGTAACGGACCACGGTATCCTCGTTGACGTGGTCGTCGCGAACGACGAACACCGTGGCGAAACTTTTCTAAGGATGTCCGATTCGACTAGTTATCCTTGAAACAGTTCCCTCGCTGCAGAATCTCTCTCTCTCTCTCTCTCTCTCTTTCTATTCTTTTCGTCCCTATTCTCTCGCTGATTATGCGCCGTTGCACAATATTATCGTTTATCTTGCACTTTCAGCGGTGAAACAACGCCAGTCGAGCGCTCTCGAATTTGCTTCTCGCTATGGAGACAAGGAGGATACGGTATTGTTTGTATTATGTATTAGATTGGCCAGAAAATTCAGCTGGTTCTCTTCGAAACGAAAGCGAGAAGGGAAACAGCTCGCTCTCTTAAGTAGGTCTTCTAGTATCCTTTGCTGGACTTTTCCCCATATCTTTGAAAAATCGTTGCAACCAACCATTAAGAGCTTATGTTTTGAAATTAACGGGCTTTGTTCGCGCAGTCCTGGGCTACGCGTGTAGCATCTTTCGTTAGGAATGATCGAAAATTGCCGGTGTTACGTGCCGTTGTCCGAAGGGCCTCTTAAAAATCGCTTACCGGGTGGTATTCGTTGTTCATACGCATCCTGTTATCTCGGATAAAGAAACTCAACAGGATTCCTGTTAAGTACGAGTACTTCTACGAAGAAGGTGCTAAAAAGAACGAAAAATATCGGTGAATAGAAGAAATGGCGCTACTCCGAATGTATCTTATCGATTTTTTCCTTTTAAACACACGAGTACGAAAAGGATAGAAGGAATGCGAATTTTGGAATAATTTTTCTAGGGGTCATAGCCACGAATGTGCCAAATATTCGTGCAAAATTTCACGCCAATCGGGCAGACGCATTTCGAGAAATCGCGGACACCGTTCTAAAAACTGTCAAAAAGTTGCACGTTTCTACAAGAACGACGTGACCCGTCACCTCGTTGGAACAGTTACAGCTGCGTTATTTTTAAGAATTCGAGTGTAATATTTACGAAAGGTAAAAATGAAAGAAAGATGGATTTTTTAACCCTGGATAGTAAGAGACCCCCATAACACGATCACAGCCCGATGTTCCTAGTTACTCGTACTTTCCGGGTTATTTCGTTACGCACAGCCCCGTTGCTCTTCCCCGGTAGAGGAATAATTACACGCGAAACAGAGCCCTCTTAACATCCCCCCTCGACAATCGAGATTCTTTTAGAAGGCTCGGGGGTGTGGCGCGATTTTCATATTCTCCGTTTCCCACGCCGATTCCTCTGCTCGACGCTGGCTGTTTCATAAGTCACCGGGGTTAGCGGCGATCCTCGGCTTTGCCCCGGTCGAAGAGGAGAGCGCGGGTCCTGCATCTCGTGGAAGCGAGCGTCGATTACGACGAAACTCGTCCGAGGGGAATCGACGTCTGGACGCTTAAACCGCCGCGCGAAATTGGATCGAATTAGCCGGCTTTCGTCCGTGGCAACAAAAATCGAAGGAAGAAAGGAATTCGACGGCCAGAGACTCGTTGATTTCCTGTCGTTCCCCGGGGACCATTCGCCGCCCCTTTTCCGTCATCTTCCACCAGACGATGAAAGGAACGTCGCCGATACGCCCCGTTCGACTCCGCAGCGCCGATGATCACGCTCTTTCCCCGAGAATAAGATATCGCGTACGTGTCTCGATCGAGATATCCAGGTGCATCCTCCCTGTTGATTCCTGTTTTCCCCGCGTCCCAGGACACCGAGCGACTTTTTGCGTAACTCCAGCCGGCGTAATTGAATTGCGAAGACTTACGCCGAGATTTTAAGACTTCTTACGCCGTGTAAGTCCGTCGAAGGTGAATTTATTTGACTTTGCACTCCGACTCGCGCTTTCCGCCGATTCCCCGTGCAGTTTTCCCGTCCGAGGAAGGAAAAGGTGCGACATTGCTCGCGATCGACTCTCGCGTATCGACCATGTCTCTCGAATAATTGGCATCGTATTCTCCGCAAACTCGATCTAGAGCTTCTCCGTTTATTCGCCTACGCGAATTTACCTGTCCACCTTTAGCTTCTTCTTCGCCGCGCGGGTTTAGATAGCGATTTATAAGTCGCGCGTGCGCGTTCGGGCATTTTTCACCGCGCGAAAACCGGCGATCGGGGTGGAATCGAGACGACCGGAAGGACTCGGAAGACTCAACGATATCGTTTCATAAACCATTTCGTGCGCGGCACGTTCGTTTTAAATGGATTTCACGGTGGAACTGTGCGCGCTGCCAAAGTTCAATATGTGGCTGGAAAAAAAAAAGGAAAAGGGAAAAAAGGAGGAAAAAAGGAGGAAAAAAGCGGGCCAGCACCACGCGGCTTCATCGCTTGTTCTTTCTGCCCCGCGATTGGAAAAACGAGAGGGATCCGTCGCGGGGTTAGGAGAACGCGCGCGTGGTGGTGCTCCAGACTGGGAGAAAAATTTTTCCGGATGTATCGCGGGCTAATGAGCATACCCTTCCTCCTCTCTTCCCGCCTCTATTTTCTTCCCTCCTTTCTCCCCTCTTTTCCACGCTCAATTGCCGGCAGTGAAGGGGAAATTTTCGATTCTCGCTTAAATGGTAATTTCATCCGGCCGTAGTTCCGCATCAGGAGCTGGATCGTTTGAGCCGGAGAACCCTTTGTTCAATCGTTTCCTTTGTTCGAGGGGTATCGATTAGCATGAGGGGCGAATTTACCTATCCCGGATTCTCGTCGAGGGATTTAAAACACTTAATTGCAGGGAAAAACCTTCGGATAATTCTTTCGTCCTTACCTCGATCGCGTAGAAGGTTAAGGGTAAAGGGATGGACGGGGTGGAATTCGGGACGGAGAAGGGGGAGGGGGTAGGGGCACGAGGGCTACCGTGTAATCGACGATTAATCGAGCGAACCACCGGCGATGGAACTCGAAACTTCGTTGCTGTTCGAGCTCCTGTTTTCGCGGTTCTGGCCCTGGTTCTGACCAGACATTCTGACGAGAAACACTACCGTCGATCGCGTATCGTTCGACGAATCGCGAAGAACCGCGAAGAACGTCCGAGTAATTACTCGCGAGCGAGAAAACGCGCGGAACGCTGGGAGTAAGGGCAAAAAGAGGAACCGTGCGGCAACCAATTACGGTGAATTATGTCAAGTGTACGCCGTGCACCACGTGCTTCCATTTCGACTTTTATTTTCTCCACACCGTCTCTCTCCGCTTCTTTTTTCCAGCCTGGCGCGATTAAAGATTATCAGGCGATTCGAAATCTCGATCGCACGGGATCGACTCTGCTCGCCGCCGCGGTAAAAGTTCGACGACCCAGTTTTTCCCGCTGCAGACACCACCAACGGGGGTGTGTGGTTAGAAACGCGCGTCCGGAAATTATGAAATCGTCGAAACGGTGTAATTCTCGACGAAGACGACGGCTATGACGGAAATAGATAGCTCTACCCTACTTTCTTCCTTCCTCGTCGCGGCTCTCGCTCGCTTTGTCCCATCCCCCTGTCCCGTCGTTTTGCTCGCCCCGAGACAATTTTCGATTCGAGTTTGCCTCGGAAATCTATCGCTCCACTCGGAAGCAGGGCCGTCGACGAAGCTGCAGACGCGAAACGAAGTTATCCCGAGTTCCCTCCGTCTAAATAGAGGACGATTCGCTCGATTTCCGTGCGAGCACACGATTACGCGTGCACACGTTCATAGTCGATCGTGCACACGCCTTGCTTTGCAAGCGTCGCGTCTCCCTTTCTCGCCGTTCATACGGAAAATCCGCGAAAACTCTCGTCGAAAGCGAAACCATATCCGTTCTGTCGTTTCCCGTGAAAATGCCGGAAAATACGAAGCTATCGAACGGAATCGCTTCTTTCTCCGTTCCACCGAGAACTACGTCTCGATCGTTATCGAGATGTCGGATGGAACCGGCGCGATCGCACCCGCCAAGAGTTCTCGAGCCTCTCGATGCACCAGAGTCGCAAACGACGCGACCACCTCGCGAATTTCCGCGAGGGTGGGCCACAAGTGTTTCGCTTTCGCTCGCGGCAAGTCGGCAAGTATCGAGGAGTAAAAAATATTTCCGTTCTCTCCTCGGCAAACAAATTGCGCCCAGCGTGTCGCTTTCATTTTTATTTAACGCTGCGATATTTTGGCCGGAAGGAAACGATATCGCGTGAATAACGCGAGAGTACCACCGCGGCGAATTCGTCGCAGCGAAACGACAGAAACGTCCCTCTGTCTCTCGACGAGTTCCTCTCGATCCTTCGAAAAGCTGCAGGAACGAACCGACCAACCACGCGACGTGTAACCGCTTCTCTTGCCATTTACAGAAGACGAAAATGCCATGGTGCAGGGTATCGTGACGGAGGATGGCCTGTTCGATGGCACGGTCGTCACCGCATTCGAGGAGTACTACATCGAGCCGACGAACAGATACTTGAACAAGGAAGAAGACACGTCGCCGCCATATCACAGCATAGCGTATCGAGTCTCCGACGTCTTAACGCCGCGTAGATCGTTGCCTTGCGCCAGTCATCGATTGCGTCAATCTACTTCTCACGATTCCACGGAAAGGTGAGTATCTTCTTCCAATCACTCGATAGGATGGTACGCGAACGGAAGCGTGAATCATCGTGGACTAGGTCCGGGATCATCGGATCGATAGGCGAAGAACGGGAAAAGATGGATCGTCTGTTGCAGAGGTGTGCGTACGAGGAAGGACGCGCAGATTTCCAGGCCTCGTCGCAGATGTTCGCTCGTTAATGTAACAGGATAGCGTGTGCTGAAACAACCTGGGCAAATCGCGTTACGTTAACCGAGGATGAAAATGGATCTAACGAGAGACAGCTCCGTTGCTCGAATGTCTGCGTCGTCTGAGGTTTATCAACTCGGAACACCGGCTGCTCCTTCCTCGCGCTAATTTCGTTAGCAGTTCCTCCGCGGCATTATATTCGTAGGCATACACCCCGTTCGAAGCGCGCCGCGCGTACATATAACGAGCTTTAAACCGCGAATCTTCAAACGCTCGTGGACGAATCGCTGGTAATCAGACGAAACTACGGGTACGCGAGGATGCACCCCGGTCGCGATTTCGCGTGATGATCGCGACTTTCGCGACACTCGCACGTTTATGCAGATATCGTTGGTTTTATTCTTGCAGGGCCAGCAATCACGGTTACGGGAACGACTCTCGGACGCTTTACGAACCTCTGCTAGGCGAGAGGCAAGCTTTCTACTCGAAGGAAAATGGCGCACGGGTTTTAACCTCGGACAGAGATAAGACCGTGGCACGTATGGAAACGTGAGTGTCCGCTACGAGAAAGAAACTCGTTGCAGGATTGTTTGAACGCGACTCGTGCTCGCGCTAAGCGTTTCGCTTCGTTTCGTTTTGTTTCCGTTCAGCTTCCGTTCCGCGGTAGCATAAAAATCGCGGGACGGAAGTCGGTCCGAAGCGCGCAGCTACGGAAGGATAAGCTGCTTATCCGGCCTCGTAAGAAATTCTCCACTGCCGGCTTTTTTCCCGTTTCAGAACCAGCGACGGAGATCGTATCGCGAGACATCTACACAAGCGTGCCACTGTGGATCCACGGAAAACTACCTGCATGCTCTACCTGCAAGCGGACCATCAGTTTTTCGCGAGGTACGGCACCGAGGAGGCTTGCATCGAGGTGATGACGAGACACGTGCAGAGGGTCAACTCGATCTATAAGCATACCGGTAAATCCTTTCCCGTTTCTTCCCGCTTCTTATCTCGAATAGTCTCGAAAGCCCGATATTCTCGGGATTCCATCGAGGAAGGTAACTCGACGCGGAGAGTGAGAGGGGTTCGTTACTGTTGCTAGATTTCAACCAGGACGGCAGACCAGACAACATCAGCTTCATGATAAAACGTGTGAAAGTTCACAGCGAGGACGCGCTGAGAGATCCCAATTATCGATTCCCGGGAAACTACGGCGTGGAAAAATATCTGGAACTCTTCTCCGGTAAATAAATCTTGCGCTGGTAACGATAGCTCGCATAACGGCAGCCGATTGTTGGCCGCGGCGCGAGCACAAGCAGATCGATCTTTCGACCGATTACAAATCCCTCCACCGTTCTCGTTCGTTGCAGAAGAGGATTACGACGCGTTCTGCTTGGCTTACATGTTCACGTACCGGGACTTCGAGATGGGAACGCTGGGACTCGCGTGGACCGGTGACCTGAAAAACGCCGGCGGTGTTTGCGAGAAGAACGGGGTAAGTTGAGATCCGTACGTTGGTGACACGCCGAGGAGTACAGGGATATCGGCGAGCGGACGTTTAAACAGGAACGACGGCCGTGTGACCATGCCGCGCAAGCTCGAAAGCTCCGAAATTCCCGCCCCCTCTTTCCGAACGATACGATCGCCAGAAATGCTGTGAAATGTACGATCTCTGAACTTTGCAGCACTATCGCGGCAGCATGAAGTCGCTCAACACCGGAATAGTGACTTTACTGAATTACGGCAAGCACGTACCACCCGCCGTTTCTCACGTCACTTTGGCCCACGAGATCGGCCACAACTTTGGTTCACCGGTAGGTTGCTCGAATTTACTATTGCGCGCAAGGTAGCCTCGTTCTCGCTTCTAGATGAGATAGCACGATACCGACACACGCCGTTAATACGTTTCTCGTGCTAAGTAGAGAGAAAGAGGAGTTTGACGTTAGCATGTTTTTCTAGCACTGTCGATACGCGAGTAACACGAGGCGCCACTTTACTTTGTTTCAGCACGATCCGGAACAATGCACGCCCGGCGGAGAGGATGGAAACTTCATTATGTTCGCTCGTGCTACCAGCGGCGACAAGCGAAACAATAATCGTTTCAGCCCGTGTAGCTTGAGTGCCATAAACCCAGTTTTGAATAGCAAAGCTCGTTCTCCGAAGGGTTGCTTTACTGGTCAGTCTCTGGCTCGTTACTTTTATGTCCTCGTCGAATATCGAATATTCTCCGAGTATGATCGCCTGTTATCGGTCCCGCGCTCACCCAATCCAAACTTATTTAACATAGTAATACTCGCGCCGAATATCTATTCTGAATAATAGTCGAAACTCTCGAGTACCGTTTCCTTCGGCGATAAAGTTTCGCCTGCCCTCCTCGCTTTTATTACATCTCGCACTAGGACTAAAAACTTGCAGTACGAACAGTTAGAACGTACATTCGTGGATAGGATATTTAGCAAGGAGAGCTAAGGAGATTATCTGTCTTTAGAACCGCAAGTATCGTTATGCGGGAACGGTGTCATCGAAGAGGGCGAAGAGTGCGATTGCGGATGGGAAGAGGATTGCAGGGATTCGTGTTGCTTTCCGCAACGTCGTTATCCACCCGCAGGCGAAACACCCTGTACGCTCACACCAGGTTCCATCTGTAGTCCTAGTCAAGTACGTGATGTCCGAGGAACGATCACGTTTCATCCACGTTGTTTGTTTCCTCGTTTTTATCGCTCTGAGAACCCCTCGTTATTTCCCAGGGCCCGTGCTGCACTGCCGAGTGCAATTTAAGATTCGGAGATAAGTGCAGAGACGATAACGGATGTCGCGACGCGAGCTTCTGCGACGGTCGATCGCCGTATTGTCCACCTTCCATCAACAAGCCCAACAAGACCATCTGCAATCGCGAATTCGTGTGTTTCATGGGGGTGAGTATGACGTGGAAGTTCGGATCGTGGAGAGAACCGTTTTCAACGAATGCGCTGTTTGCCTTTTTTCTTCTTTTATAGGAGTGTACCGGTAGTATATGCCTTGCATACGGATTGGAATCTTGCCAGTGCATTCCAGGACCAAATGATCCGTCGACGAAAGCGTGCGAGCTCTGTTGCCGTCTTCCCGGAGAAAATCAACCTTGTTTGTACGTTGCCAAGTATCTTCTTGTTTATATTTTTTTCCATAGTGTTAAAAATAAATATATCGATGATCGATGTTACGCTCGTAGGTCGTCTTTCGATTGGAACTCTCCACCCTACGATATACCGGACATGTACTCGAAGCCGGGTACACCGTGTAACGATTACAACGGATACTGTGATGTCTTCCAAAAATGTCGAGAGGTACGATAATTCGCGTCGTTTTATCGCACAGAACGCCGCAACATTCTCGCTTGGGAATACGATTATTTCTCATTCTTTTATTTTATTATTTTATTTCATACAGGTGGATCCGAGCGGTCCTCTAGCAACTCTGAGGAAGCTTCTTCTATCCGACGAAAGCCTAGCCACTTTCCGTCGTTGGATAATTGACCATTGGTACGCGGCCGCTCTGATCATTCTGGCCGCTGTATCGCTATTGGTGAGTATCGTATTTAATCCCTGATTCGAGGTTAATTAGCTTTATCTTACGTATTCGAATAGTTCCTCGGAACGGTGCACAGTTTAACGATAATATTATGCCGATCATTTTTACATTAGAATCGATCGAGGAAACGCAAAGATAAGAAAGGTGCAAAGAGTAAGTCTAGGAACAGATGAAAGTAGACCTTTGTATCCGCAGCATCTGCAACAGTTTGCTAGATTTCGTCGAATAACGTTAAATCCTTGTATTTGATTCGTTATCTCTTAGCTGTATCATAGCCGATCTGTATCGAACGTTTCATTTGCTAACATCTGCCTACAGTAATACCAGTAACGGTAGAATATCTAAAAGTCCATCGATACGTGCCACCATCGATACATTACTTTAATCTTCGATTTAATCTTCGAACCTAGGTGGCGAGCATGAGGTTACTGGGCAAACGGCCGGATCTGAAGCTCAAGTCAGTCACGATAATACACAGCTCAACGACGGAAACGGTACGTCTTCCACCGGAGGGAACGGAGGGGGTGACGGTGCATCCACCGGCTGTACGTGCAAAGCTTCCGCTCAGCAGAAAAGTCAGGGAGAAGAGGAGACATCGCAAGCATAAGGATTCTCATGGGAACGCGGCAGACAAGTCTGGCAAGGATGTATCGAAGAAAAAGAAACAACCCCAGTCGCAGGCAAAGAGATCGTCCGCTAATGCGACCGAGGACTTTGCTAGAAAAAGATCGACGGATGCCACCACTGCGATGGTTCAAGACAACAAACGGAAGAAAACTTTCGCCAGTCGAGATAAGCAGAATTCCAATGCGAACGCAGCGAGCAATGCCGACAACGAGAAGAGGAAACGTAAGAAGCAGCATAAAAAGGAAGTGATCGATTATTCGGCTATCCAGGCTGAAAAAGAACCCGAGCCAAACGCTGATCCTAAAAGCAAAGTTCGTTCTTGGTTATTGGCATCCTCTCAGTGCCGACCGGAAACAGGAAGAAGCAATGCAACTGGTCTGCCCAAGAGCAAGTCTACGCCTGTGGGTTTAACCGGGGTGGGAACCAGATTGCCCGTGACCAGGCAAGTAACTTCGAGGAGACCAGCCGAATCTAAAGAAACAAAATTACCGGCAAATTCAGGGACAAGGAAGGAGAGAGCAAAGCTACAAGTAGTGTATAAGCCACCCTTCAGGTTCAGCGTGAAACTCCGAAAATCGGACAAGGTAGCACAGGTACCTGCCTTGGCACCGAACGCGACGCACGCCAATGGCAGACCAAAGCTTCCGAGAACTGGTGTTCTTCTGAGGACAGCGAAAAAGAAGGACAGAGTCAGAATCGGCAGGGCCAGACAAATAGCGCCTACAGGAATCGGAAACAGTGCGGGTGATTTACCTGAACCGGCCAATTCTGATCTCCATACCGTTCCTTCTGATCTCGAAGTGCTACTGTCCGAGAGCGAGTTCCTCTTTTCGGACACGTGACCACGGTTCTTGAGAGACATTTAGATCAGTGCATTTAGAGCAATCTTTTTAGAGAAGATTCGTACCGATTGGAAATGAAGATCGGTACGTCGAAGAATCCCGTCCGCCAAAGTCGCGAAAAATACATGTGAAAACCTTTTACATGCCATCTCTTGGTTCAGTCTCGATTTCACTAACGACGAATACGATTGCGTACTCGGTGGTGTACGACCGATAGCTATAGTCGATCGTCGAAAAATCAAAAGAATTTATTGTTAGTGAAATTGGACGTCGAAGAACCAGGTCATTTTATCATATTAGTCTAATGGCTGCTGGGCGTGTTTTCATAAACGTTGACGCAACCCTAAATGAGCTTCTTCCGTTTTACTATGCTGGAATTTATTTTTTTATGGGTATGTGTAACAAGGAGCACGCATACACATACGGCGTACGCTTTCGCTCTTTTTCACGTCTTCCTAGTAATAAGACGACAGTCAGTCGTGCGTTCAAAATAATTCACCTCGTGAATCGTCGAATTCGTATTACGATGTACAATCGATCACTAAAATGATCCGCGTTCTATGGAAGTGCTAGTTGAACGATCCACAAGCCAAGTTTTCTTCTTCCAAAGAAAAGGGGCCAAATTCGCTTTAAAGAGAGAAAACAAAGAGAGAAAGAGAGAGAGAGAGAGAGAGAGAGAGAGAGAAAGAAAGAAAGAAAGAGAGAAAGAAAATAAAGAAAGACTAATCGCAACCGTGTGCATCGTCGTACTCGTACATGGCACAAGGAACAAAGTCGCAGAACTATTTTTGCCTGTCGAAAACGCGCAGAAATTTTTTCTTTGTAAACACGAGATTACGATTCGTTTGCGATCGCAGCTTTACACAGTTCAGGGATCAGCGTTCGATCGATACGAAAGACGAGCTGTAGCGTGATGTATCGTTGTGTGTCGTTGTACATGGTGTAGAGAGGTAGAGAGGGAGAGAATGAGAGAGAGAGAGAGTGAGAGAAAGAGAGAGAGAGAGAGAGAGAATGAGAGAGAAAAAATACTTAAAACTGTTACTATATCGTGCCTATCGTACACCGCACTTGGGAAATGGATCTCGCAATGAAAAAGAAAAGAAGCAGGAAGTCAGCAGACACACGGTGTCGCATGTTTGCCAAGGGATTCGAAGTTTCTCCGTGAAAAATCTTTAAGAACGCAATCGCGGTTGATAGTTGAAGCTAGTCTATCCTTTTGAGTTTCTTCAAAGATCGTCTATCGTCAACTTGATACTTTCTGCCCGCACTTGCTGTTAATCTAACGTACTATTCTCATGGTTCCTATTTGCCGGCAATTCCTAACCGCGGTGTAAACCTCTTGCCGGTTTATTTGCATTTCCAGTGGATAAGTGATGACGAAACTCGTTGAGCTATTTATATTTTTGAGACTGTATAAAAGATACGAGAATTAACGTTCTCCGCTATATTTCCATGAGTTTCATTCTGCCCACGGTATCGATCAAAGATTGCCCGCTGCCGGGGAAACGATCAAAACTTAATCATACCGTGATGGTTTACCATTATACTACTCTGCGGTGCTATTAGTCAATATGCTTAACGATGTCGAAATGATTCTCTGCCCGTCGAACACATTCCCGATCGCTTCAAGTCTCTGTACATCCAATCGAGTTTAAGTTCCTTCTCGTTTCATTCGTTAACGTTGTATTTACTTGCTCTGAATCATTCCAATTCGTAGAAACCACGGTTTTCCAAGATACTCTAGCTTTCTTGCGATGCTTTTATTAGTCTTGTTACACCGTCTAAACATTCTACTGATCGCAAGTATCACTGAAGTACCCGCCAACACTTGCGGATCTCGCGAAAGAAGACGAAAAGCTTCCGCGAAACGTACCTAGAGACTTGCGAGAATGACGTGTTTAAAGAAACGCTTGTACGTATCGTGGTTAACACGCCGGAAGAAAATTGTAGGCGTAACGTCGACTGATCCCGTTGACGAAGAGAGCAACGGGCAATCTGTGACCAGATTCGTCGATGAAACGTTAACGTTAAGGAAACGGAGGCGGGCAAATATATTTTTCGTTGTTCATTAATTTAATAATGCTGCGATAAATACTGCCATAACGTATCGTGCGAGGTAGAAATCGCACGATACGAAAGAACCATCGAGACACGCTTCGTTTGCCCACCTCCGGTCAAACCAGTAGAGTATTTTGCCGGTTGCTGCGAATAAATGAAGAAAAATCTGCTTGTGTGTATACATACGTGCGTACGTGTACTTAAATCGTAAGAATATGTGATTTTACTTTTACGTGAATTTATATACACGTTTAGCATGCGTATTACGAATTGCGATCGAATCTTTGCAACGGGAGAATTGATCGTGCAATTCGTACGCGACTAATATTTAATTAACCCATTGGCCTAATACTATTTAAGCGGTTATCAGTTAGTCAGAGACGTTTACTTAAATAGGCGTTGATACTATTTATCGAACGAAACAAGCGTGAACTAATGCGACCGGAATTTCCGGTTTAGCTAGCAACCTCGAATCTATCTTCCCTCTTTCGTTTCGAAGTTGCGTTAGTTGAAGAAGAAAAACAATAGCGAGTCAATGTAGGCAAATGGGTTATCTAAGGAAATGTGATTTTACTTTTAAGACCAATCTGTGTTATATTCGTGAACTTGACCGGTTCTGAGCCAGTGGCCATGTCGCCTAATTCTCTCGTTATCGCTTGATATTTAAGAAATTTCCAATAGACGTTTTAGTTTGCCGAAAGAGCCATAGGTCAATGCCGTTCATCCAGATGCAATTCCATGCGTGAAGGTATAGATTTTATATAGCGTAAGGTATAAAACTAGTAGGAGACTTATAGCATATCCAGTTTGAAGTTTACGATCATCCATTGAACCACGATCTTCCGGGAAAAGAGTTTCTCCACGATCTCAGGAATACGTTTCACGAGTTCATTTCCGGATATTATCATTTCCAAGTGCATAATGTTTTAACGATAGATATTAATTTACTCGTTGTCGCGAATACAAGAAAAGTAAAGAAAAAGAAAACCGAAAAAAAGAAGAAAAAGGAAAGAAAGAAAAGAAAAAGAAGGATCGATCGATGAAATTAGCTTGTAAGCGACTGTGGCGACTAGCCAGTCACCGAGAAATCTAACGTTCGTACTTATAGTCATTCCTAACACTCGAGGGCTGCTTATTTTGCTACTTCGACCCCTTCTTTCACCTAAAATTCTTTAGCAGAGGGGGAGATGAGTGAGGCGGGAAAGTGAAGAAGTCTTTCAGATCGTTTTGATCTTGACCGGTAACGTTAAATTCGGAAACAACTGCGAATGGAAGGGGTAGAAGGAAAGATCGCTCGAGAATTGCCTCGAGAATGGCAAGAAAAATCCGATCGGTAGAACGAAACTCGTTAGTTAGCTGTTCCCGTCCGATTTTTCGATACTGGACACGCCCGAGGCGAGACTGTTAATTTATCACGTACTTAATATCCGATATAAGATGGGGCTGCTGTATTTTTACACGGACTTTGTATAAATGACGAGAGCCGCAAGATCCGCGAGAGCAATGTTTTTCGCGCATCATTGTATATATCTGTATACCAATAAATAGATGTAGAATTAAAAATTTCATTTGATTTTGAGTTACTGCTTCGAATCAATTATTTTTCTCCTCTTGAGGTCTCATCAACGTCTCAAGGGTGGTCTCCGAGTAGGATTAACGTTGCGTTTTCCGTGGTTCGTACTCGACTCGAATCGCGTTTGTCCATCATTCTTCGAGCGCTGTATTTTATTCTGCTCTATAATCTCTCGCAGTTCGTTTCCATATTGAGCAACTAATGATCAAATACAGGAAAATGTTATTTCGTTTCGTATTAAATGTTATATTTCACAATGTCGAACAGGTTATACCTTTTTCGCGTCGAGCTTGCTCCTTTAGCTTCTCCTTTTCTTCTTCCTTCCTCCGTTCATCTGCCAAATACTTGGCGAAAGCAGCATCAATCGCGTCTTCCTTCGCTTTCCTCTCCGCCACAGCTTTCTGATTTCTTGCCTATTATTTCACACCTTCTGACTAATCGTTTCCTGCTTCTATACCATAATTCTATGCCATAAATACGCCATACTGCGGCACATCTTTAACTTTACCATGTCTCGCAGAAGTTCTCTCGCATTAAGTTTCTTCCTTAATGCCTGCTTAATCCCTTCGTTTGCTGATTCCTGTTCTTTCTCTGCCAAATATAACTCTCGGCAGATATCTTCTCGTTCTACCTTCTTACGCTTTTCCTCTATCAGCTTGTTCATCAATTGTTCTAACACAGCATCCTTTGCTGCACGAGTGTCACTCTGAACAGAAACAACAGTCCGCTACCGAGATACGATTAATATCGAAATTAACGCCTTTACCAACCTTTCCCTCGGCTTCCATCTTTTGCAGAGCTTCCTTTTTACCGATAATCCGTAAAATCTCGTCGTGTTCCTGCTTCAGAACTTCCCTCCTCTTGCCTTTCCAAAATTGTCGTGCTTTTAAAAATGCATCCCTTTCCTCCTGTAACATAGCAGCGATTTCTTTCTTTCTTCTCTCCGCTTCCAGATTCTCTTGATGCAAAGCTTCCCCAACTTCTTCCATTATCTTTCGTTCACGATGCTTCTCCTCTTCCTTCTCGCGCAACCTACGTCGATTATCTATCAGTTGATTTTGAAGATCTCTTCTATAGCTTAATTTCCTCTCGCGTTTCTTCATTTCCGTATCTTTGTCAATATCCCATGGGCTGGATATACTGGAACTTCGTACTTCTTCATCCTGTTTCCTCTTTGTCATCAATTCTGCTTGTATCTTCTGTAATGCCTCATCAGATAACGATGGAGCAGCGGACTTTGTCTTTTTGCTTTTTATAGATTCTTGCAGTTCGATATCTACGCACATTGCATGGATATTGCGCATGCATGGCTGCAGAATGATGTAAAGAAAGGAATTGCTTACGTTTACGGCGTGAAAGCTCCTCAGCTAGTCGCTGCGTGCGGTCGAGTTGTCGAATTTTCAGAGCAGCAACTTTTTTCGCACGTTGCAATTTCTCCGCTTCTAATTCTTCCTTGCGCTCGATGTGCAATTGCCGTAAATGTCGCTTCTTTTCGCTTATCTTTTCTATTATCCGTCGCCGTTCCTCCAATTCCGCGGCTTTCTGATCTTTAATCCTTTCATAATCCTCATCTCCCTTTCCATCCTGTTCCTTGATCATTATTTAATTCAGTTCAATCGTAAACGCAGTTCATCGAAAAATTTGTAGTCCTTACGCGTCACCTGCCAAACCAATCGTTTGGCTAAGACAAAAGCATCGATACAAAAGAGCGTAGTAGCAGAAAGAAAAAGCGAAAAGAAACATAGAGAGTTGGCTAAATTTATGTTGTATCGATTTATTAACTATAGATACAAACTATTTACAATAATCGATCTTTTGTATAAAATACAACATTGTATAAGGAAAACAATATTTTTGGAAGATATATACCAAATATTTTTTGTTTCCGATAACACTTTTAATAGTCAGCTGCATTGCTGGCCAAGTAATCACGGCGTCCAATATTGGATGCTTGTTTATTTTGGATAGCTTCCAGTTTAGGACATTCTGTGATTCTATGACCAAGACCACCGCAATAACTGCATCCACGCTCGTCTGAAAAGTAATGGAAGCGCATGCTTTTTTTTCTTCCTTTCCGAATAAAAGAAATAAAAATATAAATACGATCATAAATCACTTTACCTCCCAAGTTAAGATATTTTTCGTTCTCTGAACAAAGTTCCAACAAGAACGGTGGAACTTTCTGTTTTGCTTCCATTAGTAAATGTTTAAGATCCAACAAGACAGATTCATCATTTGCCTTATTAATAAACGTTGTCGCTATTCCAGTTCGTCCAGAACGTCCGGTTCTTCCAATTCTATGCACTGCACATAAAAATTTATTGCCTAATTACTCAGTCATTGCATAATAATTTAACAAAAATATACTAAATTACCATAGTTTTCAACATCGTCCGGCATATCGTAATTTATTACGTGTTGTACATCTGCAAAATCAAGACCTTTAGACGCAACATCAGTTGCAACTAACACGTCTTTTCGACCTTCGCGAAAAGCTTCTACAGAACGTGATCTTTCTTCTTGATCTATATAATAACAGTTAAACAATTCAAACACTGAAAATATATTTGACAAATGATATTTCATTATGTATATTATAATTTAATATACCTTTTCCACCGTGTATTGCTACCGCTTCGACACCCTTTAGTAATAGATACTCATGAATAGCATCTACGTCTTGTTTCTTTTCAGCAAATATAAGTACAGGTGGTGGAGTTTTTTGTAAACACTCTAGGAGATACACGATTTTAGCTTCTTGCTTGACATATTCGACTTCTTGTACTACATTCATAGACGCTGCACCTGCGCGACCAACATTAATCGTCACAGGTTTAACCAGAGCAGAACGTGCAAAATTTTGAATCTTTTTAGGCATCGTTGCAGAAAATAATAACGTTTGCCTCTGACCCTGTGTGAAACATATTCAAACGTAGTGCAAAGAATTTTTAACATAATAAAAATATTATGATCAAACATGTTTACCCTAAAGAACGAAAAAATTGTTCGCACATCTTCTTCAAAGCCCATATCGATCATGCGATCTGCTTCGTCCATACAAAGATAACGGCACACGCTAAGTTTTACCATCTTTTTGTCCAACATATCCATTAATCTCCCAGGAGTTGCCACCATAATATGTACACCTCTATAATGAAAAAAAAAAAAAAATCATTATGACACAATGCAAATAAAAAGATCAAAGTATTAAGAGAATATTTACTTGTTGATAACTTCTAAAGATTCTGACACAGGTACACCTCCGATTGCTAAACAGCTGCGTATTTCAGGACAGCCTGCTTGTCGTAAACTATTTGTATAATGCCGAATAATATCGTAAGTTTGTTTTGCTAATTCGCGAGATGGACAGATTATTAAACCTGGTGGCAATGAATATTAAAATTAGATTTTAATTTACATATATTTTCTATATTACCAAAATGCTATAAATATTTATACCGTACGGTCCTTCATTTCTCACAAATGGCATAGCCACTTCTTGTTCTAAACAAAACATTATAATTGGTAAAACAAATACTAATGTTTTACCGCTGCCTGTAAAAGCAATGCCAATCATATCGCGACCAGATAATCTATAACATGTTAAAAATAAAACAGATAAATATATTACATTATACAGAAAGAATAATTAAAGGGAAATGATAAATATATGCTAACACAGTTGGTATTCCTTGAACTTGAATCGGTGTTGGTTTAATGATACCCTTTTGTTCTAATCCATTTAATATACCTCTATGAAATTTCATTTCTTTAAAGCTCTTCAATGGTGGTGGGACATCATCTCCTTCAACTAAGATCCGAAGCTTCCTCCTAATTCTTTCGTGCCTTGCTTCTCCAACAGCTAGAACTGCTCTTGGGGGTCTCCAACTGGTCTTTATTGGATCCTCATATTGAATACCCTTTGCTAATTCTGCTACACCCATTAAAGCTTTATTTTCTGCTACGCTCTCTAGAATTTTTTCTTCTTCTTTCAATTGTTTTTCCATAGCACTTTCCTTCTTTGCTAAAATATTTAATGAATCGATTAATTTTTTTATATAATGAAATGTTTATTTTACCAAGTATACATATATATATTTACCTTCTGCTAATTTTTTTAATTCAGTATGTTGATCTAATAAGGAAATATTTGACTTTCTTCCCCATACTTGTCCATCATCGTCATCTGCGTCATCTTTTTCATTGTCACTGCTACTTTTTCCAATGGTACCCACAGTAACTTCATCTTTATGCTGTCCATGTTTACCAAGTTTAGCTAGTTGTTGTTTCTTACGCTCTTTAACTGGCACGTAAGGAACATAATTATCATCTGTTTCCAAAAGACTACTTTCCTTTTCGTCTTCTCTTCGATATCTCTATATTATAAAACATTTATCAATTTTTTAATCAGTCGAATTTGCGATATAATAATCGCTAATGAAAAATAAAATTACATCAGATAATACATTAACCTTCCGTGCAAAATCTTCTTTATTGTATGCCATTGTCACACAACTACTATGAGATAGTTTAATATTAAAAGAAAATATTAATTAACAATTTATATATTTACATATTTATTTCCTAGTATTATTTGAAAAATTATCCTTGTATAATATGCTTTAATTACGTTCTTAAATACAAAACTTTGTTAGTACATTTAATAAATTAGTTTATAATATTTGCATTATTCAAAATCTTAAAAATAACTATTTAAAATACTTTATTTTAGACGATTTTGTTTAAAACTGACACTCAAAACGATTTGAAGGTTTATTTACATTACATTCGATACTCAGTACTCGATTCTTTCACATCGAGGTGAATCAATTTATTACGATTTAAAACTTGCAACGCATATCTAATTAACTTCTAATATAAATTTAATGTGTTGTAAATTAATTTCGTTTAAATCAGAAACTATTTGTCTAAGTTTTTACATATACTGCTTGTATGGTTAAAAAATCAATAATAGTATATTCTCAATGAAAGCCATGAAAGGAAAAAAGTTTTGTATTGACCTATCTGTTGTATTGTGCACTTCCGGAATAAATTAAATCATCTGATAAAGAAACTACAAAACTAATACACATGTAGCTGGATTGAATATAGTGTTAATATGGTTATCTGAAAATTGAATCTGCATTTACTGCTTTTTCATATTGAGAAAAAATTAATTGTGTACATATCGCAATAATATCGTATTACGTTAATTACGATATATTATTTTCAAACACATTACAACCAAACAATGTTTAAAAAACCAAAAATAATAATCATTGGAGCGGGTGCCGCAGGTATTGCTGCAGCGGCTAGATTAATAGAAAAAGGACTAGAAAATATAAAAATTTTCGAAGCAAAGGATCGTATTGGCGGTAGGATACATACAGTAGAATTTTGTAAGTAGATTTTATTTAATTATCCATATCTGGGTATCTAATTTTTATTGCATAAGGTAAAGAATACTCATTTACTTTTAAAACAATTATACTTTTTTTATTTTTAGCTGATAATGTTGTAGAATTAGGAGCACAATGGGTTCATGGTGAACATGGAAATATTGTTTTTGAACTTGCTTCACCATACAAACTATTAGACTCATCAAAATGCTTTAAGGATTTTGATAAACATATATTTGTTACCGCACAAGGTGAAATTCTTTCCAAAAAAGAAAGTGTAGAAGCATTCAAAATATATTATGATATTTCTGAAAACATATCAGATTCTATACACAATACAGAGTCATATGGGGAATACTTTAAGAATGAGTAAGTACACAAATGCATTCACATGTATATCAATATAAAATACATTATTTATTGTATATCAAATTGTATATTATGTATTGTATATCATAGAAGTTTATCTTGAACATCTTTGTAAAAGAATATTTTCAACAAATGCATCAATATCACTTTCTCTGAACCATGCTTGTAATGTTGGATGTAAATTTGCTTTAGCAACTATACAAACATCTTTGTCAGAAACTATACACCTAAAAGAAGTAATATTTATGCAAATAAATGAATTCAAGTAGTAAGATTTTCATAAACTTACCTTACTCTGCAATTGATGCATTGATTTCTCACATACTCATATCTTAACAAAGAAAAAATATATTTTACATACTTAGCATCTAACTTATTTTGATCTTCAATATTGATTTTCTTAGGATTATTTATTCTCTCCATATATCCTTGTGTTAATATAGGTATAATGAAATGTACCTGAAATAGGTAACAATTAAATTAAATTAAATCTTTCAATTCTATGCGAATTAAGTCATTTTACCTGTCTAAAACAATCATCTATAAACTCTTCAGCTCTACTATATACATAATTTTCTTGTTCCTGAAGTATTAACACACCAATTTTAGGCTCCTTTGACCTGAAGATCTTTGCTACATGTTGTGCAATTTCTAAACCATCATCAGCAAATGTTAACATGACTATACAGCCATATAGTTTTTTAGTCTATCAATAAAATAAGTAAGAAATGTTAATATAATGCTACTGTCTAATCCAATCACATTTATCATAGCTATTTTATAATACCTTTTGTAAATTATTTTGTATAACATGACCAGAGACTATTTTACATTTTTGTATTTCTTTTACAAAGTTAATCGGAGTTAATACTAATGGGGCTCTGGGGATACTAGCTGGCCTTAATATAGTTAATTCTGCACAAGAACAAAAATCATTCTATTTTGAGTTATTCCTAATAAAAAATATTACTATTACTTGAAAGAAATATTAAGGTACCATCTATATTCTGTGAAAGTCCATCAATTAGATCAGAAACATCATCTTTTATTTCATTAATTACATCAAAACGATGTATTTTTTGCAGAACACTTAGAATTTTATCTATAGTTGCATCAACCTGTTGCACATAAGCTAATAATACATAATAAGTTGGATCTTGCAATCCTTTAAAGTCATAATCTATACACTAGAACAGGAAAAATAAAAACAAATAGAATTTTATAATTAATACGTTTCATATGTATATATACATACACGTATTTGTTCCATTGTTAAACCCATATGTGCAGCAAATTCTTGCCATCCATTATAAGCTTTGCCTGTAGCAGTAGAACTTAGTTGTAAACACAATTTTTGCAAAGTTGGTTTTCCTATCTGTTCAAACAAGTAAGAAGCATGAATTCGTGTTGTAGCTCTTCGAATATTCAATATTACGATATCTAAATTTGGGGGACCATCAACTTCTGCTCTTAACTTTTCTAATTCAGGATCAACATTGCTAAAATATAAAATTTTACATTTTTTAATTAATAAACATATTTTTTAAAGCAGTTGATTTAGAACCAAAAAGGCAATTCTTACCTTTTTGCAAACATATTTATGGACTAAATAAAATTTACGTTTTCGTATTACATTGTTTGCATCGAAATATATAATCATATATAATTTATAATGTAACACAATAATGTTATAAAAGCACAATACAGAAAATTATACTTAATAGTGTGAAAGTTATAATAAATGTACTATAACTTCCCCCTTCTCATTTCAAGATCGAGACTCATATCCGGTTTCATTTTACCGCTAAAATTCAAAATTTTATATTTAAAATTTCATCAAATCCAATGAAATTGAATGCAATTAAATAATATTTTTAGATTTTATCGAGTATTTGAGGAAAATCCATTTACTAGTCTGGATAAAGCCAAACAATTATTAGCTTGGATGCATAAATTTGACAATTCTGTTCAAGGCAGTGATTCGTGGTTTGAGGTATCTTCAAAAGAGATTACAAATTATTGGACTTGTGATGGAGATCTTGTACTCAATTGGAAGAATCATGGCTATAAAACATTATTCGACTTGTTATCTGTATGTATATTTTATATTAATTATGATTATTTCATACTCTGATTGTGTGATATATTCTTTATTGGTTCTTTTATTTCAGCAAAAAATATCAAATACCAAAAATGAATTATCTATAATGGAAAAAATAGAATATAATAAAGATGTTGATAATATTGACTATACTTCAAGTAACAACATAACTGTAAAGACAAAAGATGGTTCAGAATACACAGCATCTCATGTTATATTTACTGCATCTCTTGGCGTTTTAAAAGAAAAACACACTACAATGTTCACACCACTTCTACCTGAAACAAAACAACATGCAATAAAGGCACAGTAAAAGTTTTGATATTAATGAGTAATATGGAGTTCTCTATAAATTCCCTATTTTTTGGTATGCGCTTAATTGAAAATATAATTTTAACACATTATTTAGGGTTTAAATATTGGAACTGTAAATAAAGTGTTCTTGGAATTTCCACATAGATGGTGGCAAGAAGAGTGTGCTGGTTTTAGTTTAATATGGTCCAAAGAAGATAAAAAAAAATTTATTAAGTCTCATGGACAAGTACAGTTACAATCCTTAAGTATTGATAAATGTCATCAGTATTTATTTTTAGATATACTAATTGTATATGATTTAGGAACATGAATGGCTATGTGATGTTTTCGCATTTATTTCTGTGGATTATCAACCAAGGGTATTATGTGCATGGATTTCTGGTAAATTTGCAAAACAGATGGAATTACTTTCAGATAGTGATGTATCTGATGGATTGGACTTACTACTTGAAATGTTCTTGAGTAAAACATACAATATTCCGAAATTTGTTCAGATGCTTAGGTAATAATTTATAGCATTTTCTTGTTCTAGTATTTCAATATTAATATACTTTATACTATTTGTAGGTCATCATGGTATACAGATGAACATTTTCGTGGATCATACACCTTTAAAAGTATAACGACAGAGAAACTAAATGTAGAAACGAGAGATTTAGCTGATTCCATTGTAACAGCTGATGGAAAACCTGTATGTATTGCCTTTAATTAATTATAAAAAAAAAAAAAAAAAAAAAAAAAATTTTACAATTTTTGTAATTTTGTATACTAAATAGATAATTCTCTTTGCTGGAGAGGCAACACACGAACATTATTATTCTACTGTGCATGGGGCAGTTGAGACAGGTTTCAGAGAAGCTGATAGAATAGTAGATTTTTATGGGTAAATTTCATAAATTTCGTATTTATAATTATTGTTTAAAATTTATTTGGGATAAGGTAGCTATGATGTATTAAATGGATTAAATAATAATTGATTTTAAGGTAAATTCATTCCTGTAACAATTGCGCATAGCTTAAAATGTTTTCTAAGGTTTGATTCATATTATGTGTTATCATTTGTATTTTTACATTTATAATCTACTTTTAAATATCATATATATTATGTATTTTATTTTTTATCACAGGATTAATAACTGTGTTACAGAGATAATTTGCATAATTATTGACACTTTTTTTGCTTCATTTTCATTTATTCCTTCTACTTGTTTTTGATTATGAGAAAGAGGTATGTAAAAAATGAAAGAAAGTGGGAAAGTTTAATATATACTAAAAATGGTTATATGGAATCATATATTCTATTTCTATTGATTAGCATGCTTCTTCTTAGGCAGTTAAAGTCTCAGCTCTAGCCAGAGCCACGTTTCTTCATAAAGGATCATGGTAAATTATAGACTTACTTGGTGCTTTACATTATAAGAGACATTTTTTATGTAAATATTAAGTGTATATTCACAACGAAGCTATTTAATAAACAATTGTTTACTTTTATTGCTTTATGTCTTCAAGAAGAGTAACTTAAAATACAAGTTCAATGTTTAACAATAAATAAATAAACTTTTATATCTTTTCTTGTAGAAAGTTATCATATATGTAAATTGTTTAGATTTGTATTAATAACATTAATAATCTGCATATATATACTTAAAAAATTATCATTATTATTATTATTGCAAGTGAAATAGTTGAAATCTAATCAAAAAAAAATTACAATTCTAATCACGTAGAACACGTGGTTGGAAAAACGGCTTCAATAAAGTGGAAAGAACGGTGAATGCTTCCAACCAAGCAGTAGTAAAGACGAAACTTGTAATAGTAGGTGCAGGCGTTGCAGGATTAGCAGCTGCGAAAACATTAAATGATGCAAATTTCAAAGACTATCTGTTAATCGAAGGTAATTAAATTTGAGTTTAATTACCTATAAATCGAAAAACGTTATTTAATTTACTATTTGTTTTCTCACAGCACAATCCGAAGTCGGTGGTCGAATTCAATCGATACCATGGAATAAAGCTTGGATAGAAAGCGGAGCGCAGTTTGTACATGGTGATCAAAGTCAATTAGCACAATTATGTTATGAACATGATTTACTCTCAGATATACAATGGCGTGACGGCCAAGGAATTTTTGTTCGCAGCAATGGTTGTAAAGTAGACGAAATTTTTATAGAAGAGGTAGACGATTTTATTCGCACTACGTTAGGAGATTATGAAGATTACGAGAACAAGGATATTGAAGTAGGTTGTGAAAGTATTGGTGGAGTTTTAAAAACTTCTCTCAACAAATACTTACATCAAAATAATGATTCACTTGCAATAAAAACTATAAAAAGGGAAATCTTTGATTGGAATATTAGATTCCTTGCAATAGATAATGCTTGTTTCTCACTTGATGAACTATCAACGAAATATTGGGGAAAATTTAAGGTAAATATAGAAAAATTAAAATACATAATAATTAATCATATTAAATAAATATATGTATATATATTATAGTTTGCTGGTGGTCCAGAACATATTTCATTTAAATCCTGATATAAGGCTTTACCCAAACTCATTGCTGATGATTTGGGTAAAAAAAACTTGCACCTAAATACCTCTGTAGATTCAATTGAATGGCGGCAAATAATAGACAATGATTTAAATTCCCCACTTATATTAAACATCTCTAAAAATACCCGCATTCTTGCGGATTGTGCAATAATTACCTGTTCCCTCGGTTATTTGAAAGAGAATTATAAGGCGATGTTTATTCCACCTTTGCCAACCTCTTTTAGCCAAGGAATCGAATGTTTGGGCTTTGGTCTAATAAATAAAATTTTTCTCGATTTCGGTATTCCTTGGTGGAAACCTGGTACAAAAGGGTTTCAGCTGCTTCGGAAAGAAGAAAGGTTTTGCAACAAAGAACTGGCTATATGGACTAGAGATCTTACCGGCTTTGATATTCAACCGAATCACGAAGCGGTACTCCTGGGTTGGGTTGGTGGACGCGGAGCTTATATTGTTGAAACTTTAAGCGAACAACAAGTTGCAGCGGACTGTGAAAATTTACTTAAACACTATTTGAAACTTGATAAAATATCTCCAATAAAAAGGTGCTTAAGGACGCGGTGGAATGCAAATAAATATATTCGTGGTAGTTATAGTCATATTACAACGAGATGTGACGCGAATGGGATTACGCCGGGTTGCCTATCAGAACCAATATGGGGTAAAGCAATAGGAAAACACCACAGTAAGGTAAGAAAAATTAAAATGCATAATTATTAAATAAATTACGCAGTGAATATAATTGTTTTATCTTAGAATATACCCATCATCATGTTTGCCGGTGAAGCAACGCATGAGAATTTTTACTCTACGACACATGGGGCCTATGATACTGGCGTGAAACAAGCACAAATTTTTTTACAGCATCACGTTGTTAAAAATTAATTGTTAAGCATAGTATAAATAAACATAGCTTGAATACATTTCCCTAACATATGTATATAAACACATCTACGCACATTTTGAAGTAAATAGACGGTGTTGATCAGTTTATATTCATTGTTAAAAATATACAGCTATATGTTAATACAAAAGATTTGTTACTTTGTTCCGACATTTTTACCATTATTTTTTCCGTAAAAATTTATTAATCTTTCAGCTTCTCTCCATCCAGAACCTATTGCTCCGTGTACTGTAGAAAAGTAATCTGCATTAGTAGCTTCACCTCCGAATAAAATTATCTAAAACAAATGCAATATGTAACTTCGTTCTGCCGAGATTTTGCTGCGAATCGTTCACATGAAACTTACGGGTTTCCCCATTTTTATGATTGGTTCGGATAATTGCAACGCGCTAGAATTTGTTCTCCTTGTTTCTAAGCTTTGAAAACTGTATGTACCCCGGAAGTGTTTATTTTTATGCCATTTACTCCTACGAACAAGGCAAAGTTCATTAGAATAAAGCACGAATAAGAAGAACAATGCGTCAATTGTAAAGACATTACCTTATCATAGCTATTGGTCTACTGACATTATAATCTTTTGATAATAAATTGTATAACATTTGTTCTGATTGCTCAAGAAGTTCTTCATCGCTAACGTCATCCATTAAGCGTGCACCTTTGCCGGATATCCATATACACAGTAAACGGGGCTTATACTCGACAAAGAAAACGCCTAACGCGTAAGGCATCCATCTCGTTTTTGGCTGAAAAAGATATAAATATATTATAGAACATATTCATTTGTATTACAACCACAAATTCTTACATTGCTATCGAGTCTCTGTCTCTCTTCTTTGCTCCATAAAATCTTATATCCTACTTTGTTCGATTCTTTAACATCAAACCACGTATCGTTAAACGCCAGAAATATTTTACCAGCATTTCCAAATCCTAATCCCTAAGATGAAAGTTAAATATTAGATAATCACGCATTGATCTCTACTATAGCGAGGAATGAGAAAATATACTTTAATGTTCCTAATTTTTTTTGTCGGCAATGAAGGATTAAACAAAGTCTCGTACTGTGCTTTAAGCACCCCTAAAGAGGACGTCATGATTACATGATCGGCTTTATATTCACTTCCATCGAGTGTCGTTATCTTTACGGTATTATCTTCATTATCTTCATTCGAGTAATCGATTTTTGTTACTTCAGAATTGAGGATCGTCTTATTTAGTACAGGTAATTCTTCTTCTGGATTCGGAAATTTTTTCTGTGAAAAATAATACAATGATACAATCGCAATTACGAATAAAAAATAACTGTCATAGGACAATATATACAAACCATTAATATATCGAAAATAGTACCATATCCTCGCTCTTTCCAATTCACACCTTGATCTCCATCGCATAGTTTATAATTCGTAAACTCGTCTATTGAAATATCGTGCCAACTATCAGCAGGATCAAAACCAATTTGCGTTACTTCGAAAAGCCACAAAAATTGTTCCTGTAGCGTCTCATTTAATTCTGGATGTCGCATAAAATGCTCTTTCAACCTAATATAAATTTATCTTAGATTAAGGTATATAATATATCTATTTCATATCAGTGTTAGAAAATAATAACATCTATTTGCTTGAATTTTCTTATTCTGATAACCCTTGTAAATTGGTACTATTTAAGTACGAAATTCATACTTGTTCTCGAAACATTCGCCAACAGAATTCTCGCATTTATCACCAACTGGACTTCCCTCCATGTATAATAAATCGAAATAAGCATCTGTAAGATTGTTGGAGAGTGTTCTATCTATCAACTCTCCTGTAGACGTATATACGTCAGGCAGATTTGGCACCGAGTGAGCTGTAATATTCAAAGGGGCAACCAATTCATATACAACGTTTCCTTTTTCTCCGTGAATCCATTGAGCGCCTAAATCGACCACATAATTGTCTGCAAATATACATCAATTCTTTGTCAATTTTAATTCATGATTTCAAATACCCGATCATTCTCTTAGTCACTTACCAAATTTTACTGTATTGACTCGTCCGCCAATTCGATCTTCAGCTTCTAAAATCAGGAGATTTTCGAAACCATTTTCAAGCAATTTCGTCGCGGCTTCGATACCAGCTGCTCCAGCACCAACGATCACTATTCGCGGTGATTTGGTATCCCCGGAAATCGTGCCTGAGATCAGGCAAAAGAGGAAAATCAAGCAATAGAACATCTTCAATACTAAAATGAAATCTGTACGCACAAATATTTATGCAATGACAGATTAATCGTCTAGTTTTACGCAATGACCCTTATATAAACTTTATAGCGTTGTGCGTATAACATTTTGCACTTTGTGAGGTAATATTGGTAATATCTAGAGCATGCAGTTGATTATAGTAATACTGGATAGATAATGGAAAATCATTCGAAATAATAAATTACATAATATAATCCCTGAGTTAATGTTACTTTTGTTCATCGTACAGAAGCGAATAAACTTTTTTCATCTAAACATTGTACATTTATTATCAATTACTGTGTCAAATAGAATAATAAAAGTTTGATGTTTAAAATAGATATCTTTATCATCTGATCTTGTAAAGTAATCAAAAGGCTTAACATTTCAGACGATGAAGTGTATAATAGTATAGAATTATAAGACATTTTTAAATAAATATTGCTTTAAAAATAAAGAAATTTAGTATGTATCATTAGTAAAGATATCTAGAATATTATAATGGCAAAAGTTATTTATAACAGGTTCGATGGGTCTCTTCAAGTTATATAAGTTAAGTAATACTGTGCCGTCGATATTAAAAGTAATAACATAACTATCCGGAAAGTTCCTTTATGATAAGGAAATGTTGATTAAGATGTTTGTAACTTATTACAAAGTCGCGTGATATTGAGAATGCGTTGAGGAGACTGGCAAATTAACTAATTGAACGTTACTTCAGATAACGCGTTAATAATATATTCGCAGCTTAGACTGTGATAATAAATCTGTGAACTAATTTCGATAGAATTCATCTTTATGCAGTCACCATGCAGCTTTTCTCGTTACAGATAGCAAAATCACCCATTTTATTTATTGAATATGATATAAGTAGCAGTACAAGTGATCTCATTCTTATTTCATACCATTTTAACCGAAACTCAAGGAAAGATCGCTTGTGCTGAGTATAGGAATGGCCACTCGACTTAATATTATTACTATATTTCTCTTATTCATCATAGTATTAACTGTATCTGTAAGAAAGTCAGGTTAGATATATTATTTTATATTTTATACATGTGATTTGTCTTTCTCATAAGATATTATGCATGACGCGAAAAATGAATAATATTATAACATTATAATATTATAATATTGCTAAATACGCTTTAACAAATATAGACTGGTGAAAGATTTACCTCACGTCATAACATCGATAATACTTCTTTTCGAAAAATAGATAATTCAGTTCATAATCGAAATTATTATATGAATTCTTCTTCAACAAATAATTCGGAAATGAATATATCATATGTTGCACACGGAGATAATGCAGAGGTCCATATATTTGTATATAACAAAGTAGATCCGGCAACAATATTTTACAGTAATAATATCAGTATTTCTATAAATGATCTTTCCTTACAACATACTACTAGTACAAATAATAATACAAAACCTGACACCTCCAGCATTAATACAACAAAGTCATTGTCAGAACTTAGTAAGTATTTGTAGCTGAACGAATTATTAATAGTTTCTAATGCTAATTATTAATAATTTTGCTGTATCAAAAGCAGAATGTGAAGAATATAAAAAACATATCTCAAGTAGAACAGATGGATCTTCTTTGAAGGGTACAGATTCAAAAGAAAATCAAATAATTAAGCACAAACGTGCTCTTAAAATCATTGAAGGTAAGGATGCTCGCTATGGAGAGTTTCCTCATATGGCTGCTCTAGGCAACATTAAACATGGAAAATTTAACCTTATATGTGGCGGTACTCTTATTTCACCAGAATGGGTACTTACTGCAGCACACTGTTTCAAGACAGGGTACTATTTTATTTCACTTGTTATTATACATTTTTAACACAAAATTTATTTACATATTATTATCATTATTAAGGAATGATACAGTTGAGCCTACAGTTGTTCGTATTGGTCTGAATAACCTGAATGATGATGATGGGCAAAGTATTACAATTGATAAGGTTGAAAATCATAAAAATTATACAAAAACTGTTAATGACATATCGCTTATAAAGTTAAGTAAATCTGTAGATTTTAACATTGAAATAAAACCTGCTTGTTTATATCAACATGATTCTATACCTGAAGAGACTGAACTTTGGGTCACTGGCTGGGGTGTTACGAATGTTACACTTCAAGGTAAGCTTGAAACATTCTTAAATTAATAACAAAGTAATACCTAAAAAAAATATATCTGAATATTGCTAATATTCTATTAGGATTAAGTGACAAACTACAAAAAGCACGTCTTATAATTGTTGATAACAAAGATTGTGAAATGAAGTATAGTAACATAGTACAACGACCATATAAAATTCTTTCAAGTATGATCTGTGCAGAAGGTCCTAGTGGTTCGCAAAGCGATACTTGTACTGGAGATTCGGGAGGTCCTTTACAAGTTGCATTTAAGAATGATAGTGGCTTATATCGAGTATTAGGTATTACGAGTTTTGGATTATTTTGTAGTGTGGTACCTGGTGTGTATACTAAAGTCTCGCGCTATCTTGATTGGATCGAAAATATTGTTTGGCGATAAATTTCGTTTTGTATCATTAATATACACTTTTTTTGCAAAAATAAAAAACTGTTTATTTTCCCAGCAATTATTTCAACTGATTTAAACATTAAAAGTTTAAAATACATTTGATATAGATAATACTTTAAATTGTACAATAAATGTAATGACAGATGTTTATTAAAGGTATCGCTGTTGATCGATGTATGTACATGTCGAATAATTTTGGTATTATACAAAATAGGTATTTTTTTTATGTTGATATTCAAATTTTCAGATTGTATCATGTCATTCGAAAGATGTGCATATAATACTATATAAATGTAGTAATGTAGTTTGACTAGAAGATTTAAAAATGTGTAAGCACGATTTTATGACTGTAAAAAATAAGTGTAACCTCTGCCATTACTAGGCACAGAAATTATACTCAAGATATTTTTGTATCATGAATAGTTTTCCATGTAAGGCCATCTCCATATGGTCTATGGTTGGATGGAAAAAGAACATGCCACCAACTTCTGTTAGATCAAATAATGACATAGTATTTGTTATATTTGAAAACGTGTGGGAATAAATACTTGTTTTGTTAAATTACCTGCCAATTATACCCAAAAATAGCTTCCAATTTTGTCTTGGTCCAAAGTTATAAGGATTCTGATATATTTTACCAAGTACCTTATACTTTTGTGTTTCTGTTGCATTTATTCGTGCTTCTATACTAGTTTCCCCTCTACTAATGAGACCTGCATGCCAAGATGTTAGAGCTCCTAATGCTGCAAATGTCGCTACGCAAATCAGTGCTGCAAAAACTATAAGCCGACGTTTCCATTCTTTAACATTTGTATCTGCTGCTTTCTTAGCTATTTCAGCCAATTCTTCTTCACTCAGATGATCTAGTGATTCAGTCTGGAACAGATAATAAAATAGAATGAGTAATAAAATGATCCCGTTCTAAACACCTTATCTTTTGTAGAGTAAACTATAGTAAGTACCACAGGAATTATTTCAGAATTGTTAATGCGTACTGGATGACCATCTAATTCTGGTTCTTGTGCTGGAAAGAATTCTTGATATGCTATCTCTACACCGAATAGCATTATGAATAAAACACCAATTACCGTGAAGATCATATATTGAAAAAAATGTCTGTGATTATAATGACCAACACAATTATTTAACCATGCTGTTTTCCATATAGAAAATATATAGGATTTTAATAAAATGTTAAAACATCGAATAATATATTCATAAGGATACGGCAGTGATGATCCATCTTAAGAATACATCTATTACATATAGAACAATGATGTGTTCTGGGTGGTTTTGGTTTAATACATTTCTTACAGATACTCACAGCCTCTGGTATGAGTCCACCTTCTGGTGGACAACCAGCTGGAACATTTACACTCATATAATAATGAAAACATACATTTCCTAATAACCAATTTCCAATCACTAAGAGGATTATTGTCATTAATGGACTCTTTTCCCACCAATATGGTAGACCAATGTAATATGCAATGTACACGATACTTGTAGTTAAAAGGCTTATCATTACTACAAATACCTGTAAACTGTCAAACTTAGTAAATACATTGTGAACAATATTGATTTCTTTTATAAGAATTATATAATGATAAATTAATGGACTATAACATAAATGAAATTAGCAAGGATTACAAAAATACTCACCGGTCCTAAACAAGCAGTAAAATTTTGTACAAACCAAAACATTGGTTCTAAAAGTATGTCACAAACATAACTCCAATTTAAAAATTCATTATAAAATAAAGATTTTATAATGATTTGAAGATGCCACCATTTTTGTTTCAAATTAAGTCTAAAAGTAACAGAATATGTTGTAACAGGCTTAAATAAATAATAATTTGATCCTTATTATTTTCTATTGCTTACCTAATGATATTTGGTGCTTTGGTTAAGGACCACTTTATTCGCATCATTATCTTTCTATATAGATCTTGATACTGTATTGTTTAAAATTATATTACACATGTACTTTTAGAAACAGAATTAACTGCAGATAGTACCATTGTAATTGAAAAATGGACCATTATTATACAATATATTATATGACATGTTAAATTTTGGAAACTCCTTTGTAATGTACTGTACGATTTCGAATATTTCTTTTCCATGTAATACGTAACTCATAACATTTGTTTTACTTATCAAAGTAAATATATACGTCGATAACGATTATTTTAATCCAACCTTAAATATAAGAAATATACTATATGAATGGTTGCTGACGGTATTACATATCCTATACACAAGTTATAATACTGCAGCGCCGCTGACACAGAAATATAGTACAAACTTTTGTACCTACATGTAATTGGAAAAGAAAATGAAACGACATGTCGAAAGCATGTCATATAAATAAATCGATAAAGATACTTTTTAAACAATATTACCATTTAAAGTTAAACAGTTTAATTTATTTATTTTAATCAATTAATTTAGAGAATTATATAATGATTTTGCAGTGATTTTGAATTATATAGTGGTTTTGCAGTGATTTTGAATTATATAGTGATAGTCCTTAGCTCAGTAATGTTCTCGGAGCACAATCTCGTAAAAAATGATGTTAGAAGAATTACTAAGAAAAATTCGAGTTATGACATCGATACGGGATACGAAAGACCATATAACTTATAGCCATATAAACGATACGATTGTAAATCGCAATTAATGAAAATGACTTGAATAATGACAAACATTGAAAGATTAATGAAAAGAAATTTCATTCGTGTAAATATAACTTTAAGTAAGATTACTTGTTCAATTCTTTGAAGACCAGTTGCCGATTACCAAGTCCACCCACGAGGAGGTGACTACGAAAGGGACCCATACTTTTGGTTTTTGATTCTGCAACTAGCTAGTTAAGTTAAACCAATGTCGAAAAAAAGAAATCGTGATAGTTTTTTGTTATAACATTTAAAGATGTAACTAATCACCTATTCCGTTATAGATTTTTTGTCCTTTAGTATGAATAGATACGAAAGAAATTATAAACCATGCGAGTTACCATTTGTAGATCTACATCGGCGAACAAGAGTTACGTATCGAGCGCATTCGCCACGCAACTGTTACATGACTAGATACAAGTCAGTAAAAAATTAAAAAAAAAAAATGAAAGTAATAGATTAACATATGATTAAAAATTTTATATATATTCGACTTGAACTACAATACGACATTATGCATGATATAATAATTAAAAAACAAGGAAGCATATGAAACAATTGTCGACGACCTAATACGCACTTACACATGCACCTGGCACGACGGTGAGGTGAAATTGGCGCGCGGCTTCTTCTTTATCTGAAAGGCGGCGAGAATGGGGCGGTCAAGAATTGTAACAATCAGTATATTCAGTTCCAAATTTTCTTATTTATTTAATTATATAAATAAAATTTAATAAATTTTATAGTACCTATGTTATCAACTTTTGTGCTTGTTATATTTGTGATGATATGCTCATTGGAGCTTTATTTTCTTATATATTTGATGTTATATAGAATTTAAAATGATTTTTATTAATTTTTTAATGTTTAACATTCTTAGTATAATGATACAGATATATTATACAGATATAAGTACGAAGAAATATTTGGATTCCTATTACAGATTAACAATAAAGATAACAGCAGTTCGTGAAATTTTATAATTGTAAGTATCTTTATTTCATGTACAATTTGCAACGTTAATTAAATGAGAAATTATTAGTACCGATCTTATTTTAAAAGACAATTATGATACTTCCAGTACATAGAACCGAAATGAAATTAAATGTGCTTTTGTGAAGTACAAACTGCTTTCTTTGATACTTTCAATTTATCCAAAAAGGAAACGATTAAGATTGAGCAGAAATGTATAAATTTCAAAGAGCATGAAATCTCGAAGCACAGTATCATTATTGTTTGATTAAGTCAATTATTATTAAGGAAATGACGAAGGTGCTCGAGTCAAACAGCCATACACATACACGTATAAACATAAGTAAGTATACAATTTATACATACAGAATCTACCAATTAGTGAAAAAATCGATTCCATAATTGGAACTTATATAACAAACCTTTGTATAGGATGCGCTGGTCTAGATCGCACACCATCAGAACAATCGAATGTATAAACGTCGAATTGATCTCTTTGCATCCACGCGACAACATTTCCGGATCACGTGTTCTCAAATATGATACAGGTATTTTAATAAACTTGAGAAATTCAACAAATTCGATGACCTTTGTACGCGTAAGATTTAGAATATCTCGAACATGCGTCAGCAATCTTCGCATGTACGCGACGCCTTGCTTCAATTTAATAGAAGGCAAGTAGTAATGGGATTGATAGTAATTGCATTAATAACAATATTCTTTATGCAATAGTAATAATAAATATAATAAGGTACGAGAGAATCACACGAGGCGTTGATCTTAAAGGACCACGTTTCTCTTAATTGGTCGAGGATACTACGATACGCTATTATTGGGTTACTAACTACATCTTCCATCGTACATGGGCCTTTGGAGGTATCGTTAAATCTATGATCTATAACGTAGACATATGCGAATGTTTTGAAAATTTACATAAGTTATAGCATTATGTATCGATTTGGACTTCATATTTTCCGCATTGCGTTCCCAAAATGAGCTATAAAATCTGGACAAATTCAAATGCACACGGCAAGATCAAGAAAAACTTCTATAGCCGTTTGTGTTAGAAAGAAGATTAAAACGATTGTCAAACGTTATTCGCATATGTCTAAATCTAACAATCTTGAAACTTTGGATAAACTGTGTATTTTTTCCCTACCCCAATTCCTCGTCTTGAATGTTTTATTATTTGTAAGTTATAGACGTAACGTTTAATCTCTGGAATGTAAAAGTTTCGGATAAATTTTTTAATTAACCCTTCTAGCTACATTCCTTGCAAAGATACGAAGACGACCCGGACGATGGACAATAGTCGAAGCTCCTTGAGAGTACCTTTAATCGTACTTAACTGCCACAATGATGGACAGCATTGAGTATGTACATTTCATTCTTTTAATTAGAGATAATTCAAGTCGCGAAAAGTAAAACTACTTCGTACACGAATCGTACGAAATTATCTAAAAGAACGAGCATCGAATTTTTTCTCAACTCGTGACGTGCAGAAAAAATAGAGTTTAGATGAAATATAGAAGTTAAGAAATATTGGATCGAATTTCGCTTTGCGAATTTTAAGGAAGAACGTTATAGCACGGTTTGATAAAATTCTTAAAATTCATTCGTTACCATAATATAGGTGTTATACTCGAATATAGAACTTAGTCTCCGTTTTAACGAATTTGGAGATTGACTTGTTCCCGTCGCATCCACCTTACCTAACAATTCCGTAACATGCACGACTCGATAGCTCACTCTGACTTATCAAATTCATTAATTCGTTAATCCGTGCCATTGAGATTTCAATGCCATTGAAGGACACTTCAGTCCTTCGAGATAGTATTAATACTATTCGGCGATGAAACGAATTAGTACAAACGTCACCTTCTTCTTTCTTTCGTAGCTGAAATGTTTCGCACAAATCTACACGATTGCGCGACAACAATCGAGTGATCCGTTGAACTCGCGAGAATAATTACGTTTGCGATGCGAGAAGGAATAGTGTTCAGAGGTTCGATAATACTGTTGTTAATTTCATAGTGCGTTCAATAGCACGTTTGAAAGACTGGGTAGGTAGGGTAAGTACATATTTACAAGCAACGTTCGACGAGCTTTAATTAGTAATTTTAATTGGAACTCAATTCCTTCCTTTTAATATTAAGTACGATCAAGAATCGAAGCTTTAAAAACTACCCGCGAAACTCGTTTGAACGTTGCGTTACAATTTTCAGGGAATTTATGACTCTCTGGAATTAAGTGGGAATTACAAACTAATCGGAAAGCTCTCATAAGACAGTGTCAAGAGTGTCGAGACTTCGCAAGAGTTGCTCGTTGGAAAACCATTGTGCTAATTCCTCGATTGTCACCACGCCGTCTTTATTTGCATCTATTAACTGAGGATAAGGAATTGTTCAACTGTATTAAATCTCTCGTTACAACGCACTTTCTAATCTAATTTAAACAGATCAACGAATATTTCCAGGTATCGAGGATAGAAGGCAAATCGATGGCATTTACTCACGTGGAAAATACGATCGACGTGTTCTCGAGCTGCCAAGTGCGGCTCGACTATTTGTGGCTGAGTGTAACGACCCAACATCTCGTAAATCGAACCAACCACGTCTAGCATCTCCTCTTTACTGATCAATCCATCCCCGTCCAGGTCGTAAAGTCCAAATATCCACTGCAGTTTTTCTTCCACCGATCCTCTCGAGACCTTCGACAAGATGGTGAGATATTCCTGGAAACAACAGATCGCAACGTGTCTAAAAAACTATACGAAGACGTTTCTCGAATTAAGTGTATGTACGTATATCGCTAAAAGGATTCTCACTTCGAAGCTTATCTTTCCAGACGGTTTTCTCTTCATCGTGTTGAAGACGTAGTGAGCGTACTGACTGGCATCTGAAAGATTCGACATCGAACGTTTCTCGGTCGAAACGAAAGCTCGCCGGTTTTTCACAGAACTTACCTCCCTGTGGAAAGAATTGCGAGAATATCTGTTTGAAAGCTTCTTCGTCGACGAGACCCGTGGGACAGTCCTGCTTAAAGCTACGATAGATAAGCTGTATTTCCTTCCTGGAGAATCTGGTGTTGGCCGCCAATGTGGAAAGCTCCTCCGGCTTGTGCCTGCCGCCAAGTGCAAGGGCACCGGCGGTCGAACCCCCTAAAACGCCCCCGAGTTCTTCAAGTTCGCCCTCTGTAAGTTTGCCAACAGGCGCTTCACTCCTAAGACTGTACCACGCGTTCGAGATACTCCCCTCTCACCTTTGATTAAAGTGCTTCTTCCTCTACACCAGGCTAAGGGTAAAACGCCGTTCCTCCTCTCTCAATAGCAGGCAGGAGAGGAGATGGCGCGTATCTACTTACGAGACAGGGTGCAACGAGCTTAAAAACGCATTACTCGGGAGAAGATACGCCGGGTGCCCGAGAAGATAGCACAGCTGATTCCCCAGGCAACCTGCTTACACTCCCTTCGGCAAATACGGGGGTTCTACGGGAGACAGTGCGCGCATTGCCAAGACGGACAATACCTGGAGATATACAGGTGCATAGACTTGCAGGCGGAGAACTCGTGAGCGAAAGACAATAGGAAGAATTGCCCAGGTAAAACATTCTGGTCCGAATCTTCGATCGTTAGTCAAGGCATTTTCCTTCCCGTCTTTCCGGACCAACGTTTAACTAGAGATCGTGTTTTACTTGGGAAGAGGTATAAATAGTGTTCGCACGATTCCATTCTACTCGTCGTTTTCGTCGACGATGGAAAAATGCGTGGAGCGAATAGAGAGATAGAGAAACATTAGTAAAAGTCGGTAGGTTTCGGGTGATTTCAAAAATCCGCATAATACCGTACTTCGGGTTCGAAAAGTAGTGAAATTTGTCAGATCAATCGATCAGCGCAGCGTCGAGCAATCGCTTTCGTTAAGCGGGCAGATTTATGCCCCGGTGTACGCGCGTGTATGTACCGTTTTCGTGGATGAAAATTTTCACGCGACACGGCCGTCTAGACGCGTTTCATATCGAAGCGGCGCAACGTGAAATCGATATTCATTAACGCGAAGCGCTATAAATATAATTACCGACATCGAAAATAAAATTCAAGATCAGACGAAAGCGTAACCCAACACTACAACGTACAAAGTGGGCATCGAGCTCTAAAGAGTAGTTGCAATCTCTATACAAATGCACCTAATCAAAGAAGTACCTAACAAATGACATTCTACTCTACGAGAGACTGTACACTGCTACGGATAAGAAATATACTACATATTTACGGAAGTATCGTAACTACAGTGACGACCGCGACTATTGGCACGCGTTTGCCCATCGTTGGACACTCGCGAATTCCACAAGTTGCCTTTCAATCTATGCATCGATCAATGAACGTACACGTACAATACAAGGACCGCACGTTCTTTCGACACGTTGTAACGCTTTGAAAGAGCAAATCACCGCAATTTTACTAAATGCCCACGAATTCGCTCATGTCCGCCTATCATGCAATTATACCCCTTTTTTACACATGCTTCCATTCAAAGTATGTTTTTGAAAACGACCAAGCGAACCCCGTTCAATCCACGTTCCTTTCGATTTTCAGACTGGATATCCTGCGATCGCGGGAACACAAAGCTCCGTGGGGGATAAAATTCAGATAAATCACGAGTGGTCAGATATACATTGGGTATCGTTTAAAAAGGTTGATTCGCCGTTTCTTTTCACGTTGCCATGCTGTTCCCCACGCCACCCTTTCTACCATTTCTGATGCAAACTACAAGATAGATAGAGAGAGAGAGAAAGAGAGAGAGAGAGAGAGAGAGAGAGAGAGAGAGAGAGACAGACAGACAGACAGACAGAGAGAGACAGAGAGAGAGAGAGAACGTTTGATTCGTGTTTAGGAGCGAAATACTATTGGATTTGTTTGCGACTAAAAGGTAGAAGCTTCCCATTGATCGCTGCTAAAATTACGATCACGGAACTGTGTAAGGTACGAATGAATATTAATTCTGTCGGCGAGAGATTATCGGAAGACCGAAGAAGCTGTAAAGCTGGACGAAGAATCAATACAGGAGGAAAATTTGCATTCTAAGTCTTGCGTCTACGCTGCTAGAAGGGGTAATATAGTTAACGATATAATAAAAGGAAGGCTTGGAAGAAAAACATGTTCAGGCGCACCGTTATCGGTGGAGAATCGTCTAAAACACGGCCGTGCGCTTTCAACGGGCTTTTATGTACACATTATAGACGTATGCTCTGCACTGTGTAATTCCACTAGCAGCTCTGGTCCCGGGCATCCGGGGTCACCATAGTAACGGGAGAGCTCCTACCCTGTATCCACCCCACTTTGCGATTCCGCTTTCGGAGCATTTGTCGATTAAAAACGCGCGAGATCTGGAGATCTGTGTGTATACACGAGTAACAAGAGAGAAAGAGAGAGAAAGAGAGAGAAAGAGAGAGAAAGGAAGAAAGAGAGAGAGAGAGAGAGAGAAAGACACGCGACGTCTAGAGAGGTATAGAGCGTGATCGCATCGGTCGGTTCCCTAACGGACCAACTAATGTTCCAGGGTACTATCTCTCAAAGAAGGATTCGTCAACGGGGCAAACAAGGAGAATTTTTATTCTTTCTTTCTCTGTCGAGCGAGTCTCGCACCTTGCCGTTGCATCTTTGGCAGCTGTTAGCACTGACACACCGCAACAAATGGTTTCGCGATAAAGGAGGGAGATCGTTCGGGCCTGGGCTGTGTCGATCCCTTCGTCTCAAGGAGGATCTCTTTCCACGGCGTGTATCGACTGGCCTGCACCGATATTACCGGAGAGGAAACTCGAGCGGCACTACAGTCGGCCTGTATGATTGATGAACTTACTTTTCTCGCGGCTCTTACGTGCCTTCATTGACCGCAAACACCGATTCGCTGCCGATTCACGAGCGAACGACGACCGCTCTCGGCGATCCCTCGCACCCACTGCGATTTCCTTGCCGCTTCCCAACGATCGATCAAACGATCTCTTCCAATTTCCTTTAACGATCACCGAACCTTCCACTGCGCACAGATTTTTCTTCCTTCCTCCCTTCTCTCTGTTTCTTCCTTCCTTTTCTTCTCTTCCCTTCTTCAACCTTCCCTTGGCTATCCACGATGTGGTCAGCTCGTCTCCGTGGCCGTTGCTCGAAACCGATCCACGCGTGCACCTAATTCACCGATCGATGCCCCACGACCGACTAACGCAATTCAGCCGCCAACTCGGTAACGATGTGCGCGGCCCTCGCTCTCATGCACTGAAACAGCTGCCACGCAAAAGCAAGGGGTACACTTGCTCCCGCGCAAGTCCATATTATTTTTCCAATCGTACAGATGGATGCGACAGATATTGCCGCCCGACTGATTGGCATTATTTCGATAAATGACTATAATTCGGCTAATTACCGTTCCTTATTTTATCGCAAAGCTTCCCTTTCATCCGCTCTGCTCCAGTCTGTATATATTCGTGAACCAATTTCTTTCAACTACGAACCGGTATAATGCACCCAATTCTCTGAATAACGCATTCCATTACTTTTGGCTTCTACGTACTCCGACTCTCAGCGAATCACGTCAATTACGATTGTTTCGAACTTGATAAATTTAAAGAATCCACTTACTCGTTGAACGAACAATTTGCTTTAATAGCGCGTGTTCAGGGAAGAAATTATCTCTATGCATACTATAAGAAGATCTTACGAAATAGTTATTTCGTTAGGAAAAAAAATTGGACGTATACTTGACGATTCACCTATAATGAGATAAAAGCATAGTCCTTTTAAGATTTGCTTAGAATTCGAAATATATTTGATATAAATATTTTTTACCTTTACGAGGAATAAAAAGTACGAGCCGTGTCTGACTATAAGTAGTTCCTCCACTGAATAGATGTTGCGTATGCGTCGAGTATACCACTTGTCTAAGGTACGAATGGTATTTCTACCTTTTGATAGATATAACCAGATTATCTATTATTTTAAGTAAAAACGGAAATATTTAACGTATCGTATGTTTTAATACTACAAATATACTATAAAACAGGCAATGATCCTGTCTCGATTGAAACCGTGCCAAAAATATGATTATAGATACAGACCAATTACTTGCTTCATGTTGATCGCCGATAAACGTAGCAAGAAAGTATACTAAACATAGTCAGTGAACATGCAAACCAAAATATCCTATAGAACCATGAAAATTTAGCGATGTACCCCACCTAAAGGAACTATTGGAATGAACAATGAAAGCGGAGATGGTATCGATCGATAAAATCGAAGAGTAAAATCTTTTCCAGATGGCAGGATAATAGCACTTGTTACCGATAACATTCGTTTTCACTGATAAAGGAATGTACTATATACGTAGAGTTAAAGGGCAAAGATTTACATAGGCCCGATATTTAACTATATTTTTTTGTGATATTTTTGCATTAATATACAAATTTTGTGCAAATTCTAGAAAAATTATTCCATGTTAAATAGAAATGTATTAAAGAATAAATTATTTTTAAAAGTTTTATACTGAAACGGGAATGATAACCGTCAAAACGAAATGAGTTTAACTAATCAGTGGAACGACTTCCATGTGTAACTCATTTTCAGTTAAATCAATTTTTAAATCAAAAGGAACGTATAATAAGTTAGCAGACGAATTTTTCTATCGGCCATATCAGAAATGTGTAAGAACTGAGAAAAGGATTACAGCCGGGTGGGCTTGATATTTAAAAATGAACAGCAACGATATATCAAATTTATCGTACAAAGAATTACAAGCCTTAGCTCTTCGATACCGAGTACCAGGTAACATAAAGGTAACTGATCTCTTATTAGAAATTTGAACGAAGAAGTTTGCGAACTTGTTCCCACTTTATAATTTTTCTCTAAAACTACAAGTAAATCGATCTTTAAACGATCTATTACGATTTCTGACCGTAGAAGAAATTACTAATTAAAGTGTTACAAGCCGCGAAAGGCGGAAATGAAAATGAAGTTGGCAGACTACTCCAAGATCTTAAGCAGAATCGTAAGAGGAAAGTGAGAAAAGTTAAAGTTGGAAAAATCGGGTTAACCTCCACACCATTGCATAGTCCTGATTACGGTATGGCCGATGATTATTACTGCCCACAACAGCAACCACCTTATCAATGGGTGAGTTGATTTTTATTTAATTTCACTACTGTAATGCAGACCTTAAATTTACACAAATTCAAGCATTGTATCGCGAAATCTCACATTCGCCTCAAAAATTGATCGACGACGCTTGAGACAAAAAATTATATCCACACGAATAATTTTATAGATCGATCATCAATCGATCCTATTACGAACTTTATATTTATGATATTTTTACAATGTTGAAATACTTTTCAAATATATATCTTTATTTATTACAATTTTAGGTGGGTGCAGAAGAAGAAATTGCAAGTAGAGATGATGACAATAGAATTCCTCATTATGAAGAATTTAAACAATTCTTATTAAAAAGGATACAAAGAGAATTTCACACATATGATGCAAATAATAATCAAATACAGGATTCAGCTATAGTGGATTTAAGAACAGCAACAGTTTCATGTGACATACAAAAGGATCCTTTAGATGTTAATAACTATGCTAAGACTAATATAGTTGCTGTTAATAATTTAGAGTCATCTGTATATCAACCAAATGATAATGTAGAATATCAGACATTAGAAGACACGAATAGCAATGTTCAGGGATCTATACTTCTAAAAAAAATGTTACAAGCACCGGTTGGTGCAAATCTGGGAGAAATAGCTAGTCCTGCACTTGGGAGTTACAGATTTTGGGCAATGGAACAATATCAATCCAATAACTTATTAGATAATTCTGATACTTTAACTGCTGAGTCAGATAAACAAGATAATGAGGAAAATTTGGAAAGCAATACAGAATGTTATGGACTTTTAAGTGGCATAAAGGGAGAGTATTTTTTAAATGAACCAACTTTTGTGAAAAATGTTGAAGAAATTGGTCAACAAATTTCAAATGTCTTAACAAATGAAAATGTTAATCAATATAGATACCCTACCACAAATATTGATATACAGCATGATTATGAAAATTGGAGTATTACTAATGTTATGGATGCAACAGATAACTGTACAACATCAGATGTCCAACCATCCAAGATATTTCAGACAATGTATTGTGATAATATAGGATCTGATACCTTGAATAAACCAACAAATGATGAAAGTTTAACATGTCAATATCAAATGATAGAAACTGCACATCCTTATCATTCTAATCAGAATTTATTAAATTTAAATCCACCAGAAGAAAATCAATATTGTGAAACAAACATCATGCCTCATGGGCAATCTGATTGTACTAACACATATTATTTACAAAATTTAATTAAGTATAGTACAGGCACTACAGGAGAATATTTGCAGTATACGCATTCTTTTTCAAATGCAAACACTGATCAAGAAACATATACATCCACTATATCTCAAACATTTTCTAACAATAATCACTATAACTCTAATCTACCATATGAATACTCTTGCTCGCACAATAACCAAGGAACAATACCATTATCTGAAAATTTAGAACACTCTGAACAAAATTGTAATCCTATGCTACAAGTAGAATCCAATATTCATAGAGATATATCTGCAACAAGTATGACAGAAAAGGTACAAACAAACGGTATGTACATAGTTTCTACTTTAAATTCTTTATTTCAGTATTTGATGAAGTATAATACTATATTTTTAATACTTTTAGAAACACTAGATCCATTTTGGCCAAAAAGAATCCCTAAAACGCCTTCAGATACTATTTTAGAAAATATTTTGAATTTCATTAGTGCCAAACGCATAGATCTATTTAAATTAGATCAAACATCTTGTGTATATTGTTACATAGCTCCTATTGTAACTCATACACCAGTTTCATCAAGTATAACTTGTTCCCAAAAAGAAAGATTTGTTGCAGAATATAGGCAACATTCTTTTTCTTCATATTGGTTACTCTACAATGATACTTCGTGCGGGATGCGGATGGCTAATTTACAAACGAAAGTCAGAGAAGCTATGATAGAGGAATCACGGGCAATACACACAGCGATATCAAATAGCAATTCTAATTTAAGAGAATCAATTGTAGAAAGTGAAGATTCAATTTCTGAAGTTTGGACCAACAATTATACGAATTACGAAACAACAGTCGAAAAAGATGTAAATATATGCGAAGATTTAAATGTCGAAGTTACAGATTGTTTATTCTCGGTGATAAATACTGAACCATTGGTTAGTCAAGTAGATGACTTCCCTAAAAGTCAAACTCAATAAAAAAGAACTTTATGCTGTTAATAGAATATGAAATTGTATGTATCACCATCGCAATTTACGCATTACGCAATTTAGAAGAGAAAGCAGTAATACATATTTATATATTTAACATTATAAACCAAAGTTAAATATGATCAGTAGAAAATTATATCATTTAATCTAGTTGAAAAAAAGTGATTTATTGTGTTATAACAATCATGTGAAACTATTTTTTCACTGTTAATAAAAATACAATGTTAATTATAAAAAAAATATACTGCGGTTAAAAATAAGAGAAGAAACATAATTCTAATTTTCTTAAGTTAGTATTTGTATGAATACAAATTTGTTGAACAAAAATTGAAAGATATAATTAATATATATATATATATATAAGAAAACATGCAATTTTTTTGTATAAAACGAGGTCAAAGAAATAAACGTAGAAAATAAAAATAATAATCATACTGGTGCCAAAATAATACTTGAAATTAAGCAAAAATAAAATAAATAATTTTTTCTTCGTTTATTTTCTTTATCCTCGATTAATATATAAATTGTTATATATTTTATTACGAAATAAACAGCAAGCATTACAAAAATAAATGTCTAATAAAATATGTATTTAAAGCCTTTATTATACCATTATAATATAATATAATTATAATATAATGGTATAATAAAATTAAAAGCGTAATCGGTTTTAAATTTCTTAATTTTTAGTATTTACTATCTATTAAATAGTAACAAAACATGTGAAATGTGCATTACTGTGATTTATTCATTTCGATTTGTTATAATGAAAATCCTACTTACTTGAAATTCCTTCCGTTTGCATTTGAGTTCTCAAATAATTGAAAACTTTGACGGGGATCGATTCCTTTCTTCGATTTTTATATACTCCCACTTCAGAATCCACATTTTTCGAAGTACTTTGTTTATCAGAAGATCTACCTGGTGTCATATGAACACTATACATTTTATTTTCTAAATTCCTAGGTATTTATTTAGTTCTATTAAATGTCTCTTCTTAATTTTTCAAATGATTGTAAGAGATACTTATTTCGCGCCTTCTCAATAACGCAACATTATGCACTTTATGGTTTTATAATTCAAAACGATTAGTATTATATTTAAAATATACCGAAAAATACAAAAGAAAATATGTACGATGAATTCAAAATCCGAAATAAAGATAGTACTGGCTAGACCAAGATCTCTGGTACTACTGCTTTTAAAAAAAGCAATACCGCTATGTAGGTAAGTGCAGTGGCGCATTCGCCCTGTATTTAATGAGGTCCTCAAAAAATGAGACTAATTATTTCACTGCTTTGTTCGTTTTTCATGACTAAAAAGAAAAAATTTCGATAATGTACTTAAATATCAATTTTATAAAATATTATGTTCAAACAATTTGATAAAAATATAATAAAATTTTTTTCCTTTAATGAAAATAATTATTTTACAATCTAATAGTAAAAATACAAATTTGGTCTTATTATGTTGTATTATAATATCCTACATTTATACTTAACTGGGGTACTTAATATTACATAATAAATTTTCTAATTATTCCTAACAAATTACAATGCTCCTGAGCAGTTACTTTTTTTAAATTTCATTGAAATTAATACACACCATACTTCATAGATATCAGGATATTATTTGGTACAGAAGCGATATCTAGATAATTAATCAGCCTAAAGATAAATTCGTCCGCAACAACATACTCTTAACCTAGTCACTTAACAGCAATACTAATGTACAGAATGTTTTAAAACTACAAACTTTTTAACGAAATAAACTAATACATTAATTGTGATAAAATATAAAAGCATTATAAATATTGTAATAAACGTTTAAATATATGTTTCTTAATATAATATGAACTTAAATATATTTTGAAAAAAGCTAAGTTATATTAACCCGAAATAATGATACGACCCGTAGTGCTATTTAATGTTGATACATTAACAGTACGAAAATTAATTGGTTACGATCATTTAATATATAATGGGCCTTGTATTCAGTGTGTAAGATGGAAAAGAAAACCAATTTGGTTACCGACAGCAAAATCTAAGATGTTTAGAGTACCAGAAAGAAAAGTCATACCTACAGAAGAAGAGCTTGAGCTTAAGCGTTTGCATAATAATTATAGAACTTTAATGAAGTCTTTACTGTACGTGATTTTCAATATCATGTATTATAGTATTTCTATCATATATTTATTTCTATAATTACTATAACTACAACTACAATATAAAAAAGTGACATAATATATTTTGGTTCCAGAAATTTTTTCATTGAAAAAGAAAAAAAGAGACAAATAGATATGAGTGAATCTGTTTTAAAAGCGAAGGCATTACAAGATTTTGAAATATGTTCTCATATAAATGAAAATTGGAATAAACATGTAGCTGCATTACGAGAACAAAGACTTGCAAAAGAAAGAAAAAATCGTAAAGAAGAAATCATTATGAAAAAAGAAACAAAGAAGCAAAGAGATTTAGAAATACAAGAAAAAGTAGATTCAGAAATTAGAAAAGCAAAAGAAGAAGCTCAAACATTTATTACATCTGAAAATATAGATGAGGCTATTTCAAATGCACTAGCAAATCTCATAGATCATAATAGTGCAATTGATCTAAAAGGTAATTTTTATAAAGGTGAAGTATCTCCTACATCTGATTTAAAATAATAAAACAGGTCTTATATCATAAATTGTTTGTATCTTAAAACATAATTTTCTCTAATAAATAGAAATCTTGTATAATAATATTTGTATATTTACTGGCTTCCTAAATTAAATTTCATTCAATTCATTTTTTCTAATTCACAGAATATGTTTATTGAAAATGATCATATATAATGTAATGTATTTATAATATACAATAACAAAAAGATTGTAAACACATCCATTCAAGTTCTGTAAGCGTATGTGCTTTACAATATGGTATACAGGCACTGCATTAACTATTTCTAATTTCATAGCCTGTTTATCCATACTGTTGCAACTTACACTTAGCACATACGTACACAAATTTTTGTTCAACAATCTAATTATGTATTATCGCCATACAGGTTTACGCAAAAATGTTTCGCGAATAAAAATCATTATATAATAATTTTCCTGTATCGACGATAATTACAGGTATTAATTTGTAATTCGTATGATGTTTATTCTCGTAGTATTCACTGAAATATCGTAATTCCAACATTAGAAAATTTAGCACCTGAATGAGATTGTGTTTGAACATATGGTTTAAAATATCTATATGCGATTCTACTTGCATTATGTATTGCGACGTACTTGTTAAGAATAATTACTTTTACATTTCATATATATATTCGTAACATATCATGATGTAATTATCGTCGAAGTATCTTTGGTTTAAACATACACAATTTGTTTAAAAAAACAAACAATGACAATTAGATCGCCGCATTTCAACCAAATTCTAAGACTCAAGTATTCCAAGCATATGATTAAACGAAAAAGATTTGCATTTAAATTGAGTTGTAAAGTCTAGTATAAAAAAAAAAAAAAAAAAATAAAAAAAAATAAAAAAGGTATTAATCTATTATTTTACAATTGTTTCAAATCACGAATAGCAATGATAAATGTATAATTTTATACTAATATTTATTGTATGTGCTTATGTATATGTTTCTAAAGTTTAAAAACAAGTCTTTGAGTTTAAAAATCTGCAGTTAACAACGAAGCCTTGTATTAAAATACATTGCTATATTTAAAATGAAAGTAATATCAATAATAATAAACAGCCACAGAAAATGATCGATAATAATCGATTAAACATAACAAGTTTTCTCGTTCGACTTAAATGTTACTTATAAGACGGTGAACTATAAAATTGAATATAAAATAAACGATATAAGTATAGGCTTCGTCATTGATTGTGACATAAAGCAAATTGGTAAGGTTCTTAAACAGCAAGTTATACTGTATAGACTACCCTGATAAAAGTGAAAAAAGCGGTAATAATTATAATATCTCTTATTAAATTAGCAATGTCATTTTTCAATGGTAAACATAAGTTACATAGGTATTTTATTTACTTTTACAACTATCAACTATGGTATCTTTGACATGAGACAGGGCTATTGCACTTTGATACCACTTCTAATATATGTTCGAAACTATTGTTCGGAGGCATCGTTAAAACATCATATGAACACGTTTGCAGAATATTTGCCATTGTAATGTTTCTGAGCTTTGGATTGTACCCCATGCATAAATTCTTTTCTTATCTCATATTCTATTCCAGAATACTATAATTAGCTTCAAACGCATCAATTTTTACAATCCATCTCACGTTCTTATACAGATTTAGTTCAGCTTAATTTAGATGTATAAAGTTTTATTCTGGATCTTGTAAAATCTATGGATATAGGACGTACTGAAGCACCACAATTTAAAAATGTGTTGCATTCGCATTTTACGAGCTTGGTAAAAATATAGGATTTATAAAAATTCTTAATCCTGTTTGTTATTTTGTGTATGGTATATATGAAAATGATGGCACATGTGTTTCTAAAGCGAACTTGGCATTAAGTATGCTTAAACATTTTTCCTTTTTATTTGAGCTTTATATCTTTGATTTAGACAAAAAGAAATTATGGAATTGATGTTTTGTGTATTTTACCATTAAAATACAGACTTTGTAAAAATTTAATTAATAATATTATTCTCCACTTTGATAATCACTAACAAATGCATATCCTCTTGTTACTTCTATTATACAATTTTTTT